GCATTGCATGTGGGCGTTTGTTGTCAGCTGGCCTGTCTGATCTGCAGGTGGTCTGAGTGCGCTTTAAATTTCATCTTTGAATGGCTGTGAATTTCTGTATCCTGGGAATTCTTTCTTGCATGATTCTTGCCATTGCCTCTGCCTAACATTGCTGCACAAAATATGTTCCTATAGATCTAAATCTCTATACATATGTCTTTGTGCTGTCTCTTGCAAGATTAACTTTAGGAATATAGTCCGCATCTGTTTGTGTCACACAAGGCAAACTGCATACATTACTGGATAGGAACTCTTCTTGTCTATGTTGTACAGGTTTTCCAACTACCATGATGGTTCTTTTCTCCTTTCCTGGGAAGTTGTTTCAATGGCTCAGCTAATATAAAAGACAAAAGAGTGTTGTTCAGTCCAGCAGGTGACAGTGTGAGATGTAAATATCTGTGTGCATTGGAATAGTCTGCTCACTGTTTCCAAGAGGTCAGAGCAGGACAAATCCCAGAAACTGGGTAATTATGGCTACTAAAACTTTATTGTTGTGAACTAATCTTACTGCTTGTGGTGGTTTCAAATCAATCTCTCGAACTCCACCTCTTCTCTAGTGTCAAGGCTTGTATAACCCTTGCCAGCCTTTTGAAGTGGAAATGTGCAGACATTACTCCAACATGAGGTCATAATTTTCTGATAAATATTGCCAGGTATCTGATTAAACATGGTAATTGCAGTGTTACAAACAGAAGCAACCTAACTGGATGATGGCACTTATTGACATTCATTTTGTTTTACCCTCTCTAATTATTTAAACCTCCACTGAGCTGTGATTTGAGGTTGGTTCCTCCCAGGCAGTTTATATATTTACTCTTGAGGCCCCATTCATACATATGTTGAGCATCTTTGGTCTTTTTTGGGAGGGCTTTTTTTTTGTGTAGCAAGGATGGAGGCATCTGTTCTGTTTTTTTCTTTTTTCATTCAACCTGTGGGCTGAACAAGAAAAGAAATCTAAGTGTATGGCCAGCTTAAGACCTTTTACAAGGTAATTTAATAGAACAGAGGACTAGGAAGCTCTGCACTATGGCCTGATTGGAGCTATGAGATGTAGGTTTATTCTGACCTGTGCATTGATACTGGCTGCATTACAGTTGTGTGGCACACATGTAATAAGAGCAAATGATAATGCTGACTGCAACACTTTGTAACCAATTACATATCAACTTTTGCAATGACTGCAGTCAGTCCATAGAATTCGGTTTCACTGAATACGGGGGGGAAGAGTCTTCCATCTAGTAGAATATTTGGGAAGAAACCTTTGTTCACACATTGTAACAGTTTACAGACAGAGCTCCTCCTTTTCCATTTCCAGGTTGTAAGAATAGAGACATGCCAGTTTGGACTGCCGTCTACATATATATTCTAGATATTATTATATCTAGCAGCTTAATTATGACAACCAGGCTTTTCCAACCCAACCCAACCCAAAGCAAGCTGAATATCTGCCTTTCTTTCTAGGTTCTATCTGGGTTTGTGTTGGTTTATTGCTTTGTAGCTGGGACCGCTAATTTGTTGAATAAGGAAAACTTTACTCCACACGCTTCCCAGCCAATATGCAAAACAATGTCAACTGTTTTTTCTCAATTGTTTTAAGTTGAACTTTTAAGCATTCTGAATGTAAGTGAAGGCATTCAGAAAATGTAAGCACACATTTGACAAAGCGGCATCTTATTCATACATAGCAGTCCCTGCTTTTTTTTGGCCTTAAAATAGAATTAGTTTTTACAGCTGCTGAGCTGTTTTGTACATGCTGGCTGCCACTGACGGGGACAGCACATTACCACTTCCTTTGAAGAACATGTACAACTGTAAAAGCATTTACTTGTCTGATTGCTTCCTCACTCACAATTTTTCTTGACAGATTGGCCGACCAAGGTTTTGGTTTTTTTTTTCCTACCTTCTCACATTTAAAGGAGGCCACTACCGCCTTGACTAATTTTGTTTTGGATAGGAGTAGGGAGGATGGATGGGTGTAAAATTATACTTACTGCTTAGATCTAGCCAATGATGAAATTATGCTTTTTACCATTCCCACCTGTCTCAGAGCACTTCTTTGAAGTCCAGGGGACCCACATAAATCCTGACAGGTGTGAGCAACAAGGAAATATCAGGGCACTGGATTTTAAATCGGGCAGTGTGCGCTTGCGCACACCGGCCCGTGCGGCTGTTATCATACGGACATGCCACAAACCCGCCGAACATCGTACGATGCTCGGCGGGTTTTCAAACATGTCCGTAAGTTTAAAGTCGTGCGACCTTACAGTAGTAGAGGTCGCACGGCTTCCACACACCTTACGATCATCGTACGATCGCGGGATTTCACGCGATTATCGTACGATAATCGTAAGGTGTGTGGGGACCCTTAGACTGAATGCCCCGCACTTGTAGTTACATGGATAGTTCTGTGTGGTGGCAATTTTTAAGAAACTCTTTTGGAATTGTGCATCCTGACATTTGTAAGGGATAACAGGCAGCAAGCATTTTTCCTTTGCAAAGGTTGCTTGAACAGTGTGTTGGGACACCCATTAGTTTAGAGTGATAGTATAGTTGGCCCAGTTTCCTTGCCTATTCAGCTCTTAGTCATCCATCCAGATGAGTTATGAAATATTAGTCATTAGATTCTTGAAATCTGGTCTTTTGGACATTGTAGATTTTAATAATTAAACATGTTTAAACTATAAGAATTAAAAATATAAATGGCAGAAAGTGATACACTTAGTATATATACTGATTTTTCCAGCTATTAAATCCTAGCAGCCGACTTTGTCGGGTATTTGTTCCATGTCACCTCAGATAATCGCCAAGAGTGACTGTATTGGTCTGTTCATCAGTAATTAGAAATATTAGCGTGGTCAGTTTAGTCTTAAAATAACCAGAAGTACAGTTGGACTAACAGAGTTCTGGTGTCTAACTACTTTCTAGGTGCCCCTCATCCCTGGTTCATTGAAAGATCCCATTTGACTCCTGGCTTTCATTATCTCAAGATTTTGACATGAATTTCGTATAGCTCTGAATATTTATGACACAGTTGAGACTTGTTTAATATTATCTGCCTCTTTTTAGCCCTTCTTCCCTTTGCACTGTAACAGTATTAGCTTCTTTTGCAGTGTGTTAACAACTTATGCATTAAATTCAATTAGCTCGGCTTGTATATTTTACATACCATGGCTGAAATCATAACATTCAATCAAAAATATGCCATTGAGCTACCAAAGTAGCAAATGTTTTTCCAAAGCACCGCTTTCCACTCATCTGGATATGAATTTGAATAAGTTTATTGCATCATGAATGTGTGGTGTAGTCTTTTAAAATGTCCGTTTTAAAACCTTAAGCCTTGACCTGCAAGTGAGCAGCTGTGAAGACAACCCAACCATTATACGTGTATCACAGTGTCTGTACTGTATGCAGATGCTAATATTGCAGTCTGGTTAAACCATCATGTTTCACGTGGATAAGACCCTCTTTGTAACTACTTCTAAGCCAAATAACGTTACACAGTTGAGCTTTACTGCCTTTGCCAAGGTGATGTCTCCACTGTATGATCCCCCAGCAATTTGGAATTTAAAAAGTAATGTTTTCAGGTATATCATTTTTAATTTCTAAAATGCATTGGTCTGTTCAGCACAAAGATCTGATACAAAATCCTAGAGCTGTGTTCTGAAAAAAAAAAAACCTATATAAAATGTGTATAGTGCAAGTTTCTTTACTGTATTCACTGACGTATGTATTTTACGTTTCTATTACACATGCTATAAACTGTTTTGCTCAGGTAGTATTGGTGATTGACACGTGACTGTGTTTGCATCATTATATTACACTAAAATAGTTGTATTCTTGACAACTTGTGTCATGTGACAGTCGTAGCTATCACCGTAGTGTGAACAAGGTAGCAGAAGTGACAGTCCCTTG